TTATGCTTTGGCTCTCTCCCACTCTGACCTCTTTTTTTTGTTTTTTTCCTTCCCCGCCTCCATATAGTTTGCTTTTCAAGAATGTCCTACCAGTGGAGTCGTAAAGTGTATAATCTTTTGCGACTGACTTCTTTCACTCAGCATATTGCATTTTGAGATTCATCCAGGTTCTTGCATTTATCAATAATTCATTCTTTTTTATTGCTGAGTAGTAACTCCATTGTATAGATATACCACAATTTGTTTATCCATTTACCAAGAACATTAGGGTAGTTTTCCAGTTTTTGTTAATTATCAGTAAGGCTGCTGTATCTACCTGTTAATAGATTTTTGTGTGAACATGTTATTCACTTTAGTAAATACTGAAGACTGTGATTGCTACATCATGTGTTAGAGTATGTTTAACATTATAAGAAACTGCCAAAATCTTTTCCAGAGTGACTATACCATTTTTCATTCTCATCAGGAATATATGAGAGCTCTGGTTGTTCCACATCCTCTCTGGCTCTTGGTATTGTTAATATATTTTTTAACCAGTCCAACAGATGTATAGTGGTTGATGGCACACATTATTGTTGTCAGAGGTAGGAAAGAAGAAAGATAAGGTAGCACTATCTTAAGGAGAATTTATGAAAGAACTGTGCATGCCCTAGGTACAGAGTTATGTACAGAATGAAGAAGTCTTCTCTACCAGGCAATACAAGGACAGTTTTCAGACATTAAGATGTAATATAACAGGTACAAGCAGTTCTGAAATTTTTCATGCCCACGTTGTTTATTTCAGCAAAAAATGTTATTAAACAAAAAAATTGTTTTTTGTTATTAAACAAAAAAATGTTACAGCCCACAATCTTATCCATGCTATTTTTATAAAATATTAAGAAAGCTAAACCAGAGTTTTTACTAGTTACAGAATTTCTCAGCAGGGTGCCTGAGTGGCTCAGTTGGTTAAAAGCATCTGACTCTTGATGTCGGCTTACGTCGTGATCTCACATTTGTGAGTTCAAGCCCCATGTCAGGCTCTGGGCTGACAGCATGGAACTGCTTGGGATTCTCACTCCTTCTCTCTCTGCCCCTCCACTCCCTCTCTCAAAATAAAATAAACTTAAAAAAAAAAAAAGGAAACTTCAAAAAAAAAAAAAGAAAAAGTTCTCAGTGACATTACTTTAGTTGATGACATGACTAGAGGCCATCCTGAGTACACAAAATAACTGATTAAGCATCCATTAATAATACATGAGCATTCGTATAGTCTGAGCATGTTGAGATGGCTATATAAGGTGAGCCATTTTGTTTAAATAAAAAAGCTGGCTTTGGGGGGAAATACAAACAGTTAATATAACTGTAACACATGGCAAGATTCTGGAGCAGTTTATTCTTAAAATATCAGTTTATAAATACCAGGTAAATACCAGAATGATGGTGAGTGAACAGTAGCTAAGACTTGAGATGGAAGTTTGTGAGGGAGATAGAGTGCTTCAGCATACTACTACTTTTATTAATTTAGATTTGGCTAGGTTTGTTTCAACAGTATTCCCTCGTGCTATCTTTTTTAATGCAATAAGTAAATAGACTTATTCCATAATCAGCCATCCTGGCTGTCTAAGTACCAGTTAATGAATATTGATCACTGGGCATCAGCTGTGTATAAAATAAAGATCAAAGGTTATATGATCTGAGATCTCATCCAAGTTGGACCATTATATAGTTGTATGGTTGTACACCACTTGCATCCCCTCTAAGTCTTGTTTTTCTCATTTGTAAAACCTGGAGGATAGACCATATATGCCCTTTCTAGGGTGTTTTGTGAATAAGGCATTTTAATAGCTTGACGAAAGGTCAGTTATGAGCACCTAAGCTCTTCTAATTCTGAACATGAAACCTCTTGTTGGATGTAGATAAAGTCTGAGGAAGCTTTCTTGGGGTTGGGAAGACTCAGGGTCAGCTGTGTTACTATATACCTCCAAATGAAGGAGCCAGTTTAAGACTGGACCTTAAGTAATCAGGAGCCTTCTAAGGATATGGATTGTTCCTATGTTCTAGAACTCTAATTCATCTTGGAAGCCAACTGCTCAGTTGTGGTTTTGGAGAAAATACTAAAAGCTCCAAAAACAGTGTATCTTTTGCTCTAAACGTTGTTGGTGAAATTACTAACAAATTGTTTTTACTCCTCATTCTGGCTCTGGAAAATCTCCTCCCTAGGGACATTTTAACTACATCATATTTTCTGGTGACTTCCAAAGCAGTACACCTGACTAAACTCTTTAATTTTATCACTGTTTTGTCCCTCCTCCTTTGCATAATATCTAGATATTTATGATGTAACCAGTTCCCTGTATTAAATTCCCTTTGTTCAAAATATCTAGTGTGGTTTCTGTTTGTCAGCTAGACTGTGAATGGGATACCCTCTTTTCACATCACACAACAAACTTAGAATACTTTAAATCCAGTCTGCTTAACTACACTTAACTTATATGCCATTGTTGTCCATATTCTAGTTCTATCATTTTATCTTCAGTTCCACAAATTAGATGTAATTATTGTTTCATATAGTCATTGTTGGTTTATAATTACCCATATGTTTATCATTTTCTTTGTCCACCATTTCCTCATGCTTTTTAGACCTTCCTTCTAGAATTATTTTGTTTCTTTTTCGTCCTGAAGGTATACACTTTAAAAAGATACTTCCCTAGCTTTTCTTAAGATATTTGTCTGCAGTGTTCTGCTTTTTTAATAAAATGGTGTAGATTTCCTTTTATTTGATTTGCTTAGGATTTGTTAGGTTTCCTGAATCTGAGATTATATATTTCATCAATTATGGGAAATTCTTAGCCCTTGTTTTTTATTTGAATATTGCATCTCCTATATACTCTCAACTTTTCATTTTAGAACTCCAATTAGATGCATTGACAGTTTCTTCAAATCCTCTCCATTTCTCCAATATTCTTTTTACCTGTGACCAGCTTGCTCTTTTTCACATATATTGTATTTCTAATTTTATATAATTTTTAATACTAGACTTTCTGTTTTGTTAATATTTTATAGTCTCTTGTCCTGGTCATTCTTTTGATATCCTTTGTATTTAGTTTTACCTATTAGATACACTTTTTCACATGTGGTAGAAAATAATGATAATAAGTGAAATTTTTGCCACATTACAGTGTAGTGTTCTCACTAGTGGTGAATTTTTTTCTACCTGAGCTTTGTGATTTCTAATTGTGTGCACATTTTCACTGGAACTTTATCTGTGGGAATTCTTTTAAGTCTGGATTTAAAATGCATTTTTTTAAAAGAAGATTTGCATATTTTTGGTAAGATGCCTAGAAGCATTATCAACCTGAGGCCAATTAAAATAAATTTAAACTAACTGTTTGGTGGCCACATAGATGATATGATTTCCTGCATCAGGCCTATGTGAGAGCAGTAGGAATTTTTTTTTTAGTGTTTATTTATTCTTGAGAGAGAGAGAGCATGAGCAGGGAAAGGGCAGAGCGAGAGAGGGACACAGTCTAAAGCAAGCTCCAGGCTCCAAGCTGTCAGCACAGACACAAGGCTCGAACTCATGAGCTGTGAGATCATGACCTGAGCCGAAGTCAGATGCTTAACTGACTGAGCCACACAAGCGCCCCGAGAGCAGTAGGAATTTTTAAAGAATATCCATTCTCCTTCCCCACAGTCATCCCAAGCCAAAGACAAATCAACAAATAATTCAGCCATTATGGATGGCACTTTTTGAGCTTTCTGTTTTTAGGTTTCTTCTGATCTGATTGCCTGCTTTGTAGGATTACCTCACAGGCTTTTCTTGAGCTCTTATTAAAATCCAAGTATTATTCCACCAGGATGATGAAAGCTTAGCAAGTCTCTTTTTATCAGAAAAGCAAAACCATTCTCAGAAAAATACACCTACAGATGTCATACTTGTATCTGCAGTAGGATTGGGTCACATGCAACATGCACTGCCTTCTTCCTAACCCCCAACTGCAAGTGAGACTGAGAAATTTTGTTTTATTTTCCCCCTTGCCTCTTATTTTAAGCAAGAGAGAAGAAGATTGAAGATGGAGTATGAAGTTAGTCAATCTATAGCATCAGGTACTTACAGATTGCAAATATTTTCTAACGTTTTAGTTTAAGGTGTTTCATAGCACTTTGAATTTTATAGGTAATTGTTATCCTTTTTTAACTTAATTTTGGTGACATTAGTTTCTTAAGATGTCCATTTAATTTTCAAATTTATTGACAAAATTTATAACATCTGTTATTCATTTAAAGTCCACATTTATCTATAGTAACATTCCCTCATTCATTGATAATATTGGTATGTTCTCCATTTTTCTTCTTTGATCACTTTTCTGAGATTTCCCATATTAACATTATGCCCCCTTCACTCCTCCCCCCTCTCACGCACGTGCACACACACACACACACACTTTACTGATCCTTTCTTTTGTGTATTTTATTTTGTTAATCTCTGCTCTGACCTTAATACTTCCTTTCTCCTGTTCTCTTTGGAATTACATGGATTTTTTTTTTTTTTAAACTAACTTGAGGGGTGCCTGGGTGGCTCAGTTGGTTAAGCCTCTGACTCTTGATTTTGGCTCAGGTCATGATCTCATGGTTCGTGATGGGTTCGAGCCCCACATCAGGCTCTGTGCTGACGATACACAGGGATCTCTCTCCCCCTCTCTCTCTGCCCCTACCCTGTTTGCTCTCTCTCTCTCAAAATAAATAAATAAACTGAAAAAAAAAAAAAAAACAAAAACAACTAACTTGACAGATGCTTAGCATCTTAAATTTATTCTCTTTTCTAATATATGTGTTCAGGGCTTATGAATAATCCTCTCAGTATTGCTTAGTTGCATCATAGAAGTTTCCATATGTAAATTTTTAAATTTATTTTCATTAATATATAATTTACATGTAACATTTTGTAAGTTTAAGGGATATAGCATGTTGGTTTGATACATTATATATTGTAATATTATTATCACCCTAGCATTAGCTGACACCTTTATCAAGTCACATCATTATCATCTTTTATGTGGTGGGAACAATTAAAATCTAGTCTCTGCTGTGCATTAGATCTCCAGGACCTATTTACCAGTTCCACGTTTGTACCCTTAAAGACATGTCCTCGATTTTCACACCCTCCAGCATCTTGTAACCACCATTCTACTTTCTGTTTTGTCACATCTTGGCTTCTTTAGATTCCATATAGAAGGGATAATACACATATTATGTTTCTTACCCCATTCAGCATTATGTCCTCAAGGTCCATCCATGTTGTCATAAATAGCTGAGTAATACATATTCCATTGTGTGTGTGTATAAATACAAACACACACACCCTGTGTCTTCTTTATCCATACTACTATTGATGGATCCTTAGGGGTTTTTTTTCCCGTATCTTGGCTATTGTGAGTATAATTTCCTTTAAATATATACCCAGGAGTGGGATTACTGAATTATATGGTAGTTCTATTTTTAATTTTTTGTGGAACCTTCATACTTTTTCATAATGGCTGTACCAATTTACATTCCCACCACCAGTGTACCAGGGTTCCTGTATCTCCATAGCCTTGAGGACACTCATTACCTCTTCTTGATGATTCTTTCGGAAAAAAAAAAAAATTTAGTTCCTCTACCCACTTTTTAATCAGATTTTTCTCCTTTTTACTATTGCATTGTGTGGGTTCTTTATGTATTTTGGATATTAACCCTTTATTAGATAATTTGCAAACATTTTCTCCCATTCTGTATGTTGATTTTCATTTTGTTAATTGTTTTTTGCTGTGCAGAAACTTTTTAGTTTGATATGGATTGAAGTTATTTTTGCTTTTGTTGCTTGTGTTTTTGGTGTTATATCCAAAAAACTATTGTCATGGCTATTGTTGAGGGCTCTTTCCTACATTTTCTTCTAAGAGTTTTATGGTATCAGGTCTTATGTTTAAGTCTTTGATTCTCTTTGGGTTACCAAGATTTGTCTGCCTATTACTGGATGCTAATGTGGATAAGATGGCTCCCAGGTCCTTTGGCCTATGATGCTAGATACCACAAATTCCACATAGATGGATGTGTAATTTATTGTTAAAAAAGAAAGACAAAAAGGAGGAACATCTGTGACACCATGATGCCGATATCACCTAAAGTTTTTAATGAGTTTGAAATATTTTTTCTTTTTCTTTTTCTTTTTCTTTCTTTTTTTTTTCTTGAGAAAGAGACTGCACCTACAAGTAGGGGAGGGGCAGAGGCAGAGGGAAAGGGAGAGAGAGAATCTTAAGCAGGCTTCATGCTCAGCGTGGAGCCCCACATGGGACTTGATCCCACGACCATGAGGTAATGAACTGAGCCGAAATCAAGAGTTGGATACTTAACCAACTGCACCATCCAGACACCCGTGAAATATTGTCTCATTTTCATTATGTCTTTGTGGTCTCATGAACTGGTTAAAAGTGCATTTCTTGGGGTACCTGGCTGCACACACACTCTCTTAAAAAAAATGTGAGGGGTGCCTGGGTGGCTCAGGCGGTTAAGCATCTGACTCTTGACTTTAGCTCAGGTCATGATTTCCGGGTTTGGGAGATCTAGCACCACGCCAGGCTCTACGTGGAGCCTCCTTGGGATTCTCTTTCCCCTTTTCTCTCTGCCCCTCTCCTGCTTGCATGTGGTCTCTCTCAAAAGTAAATAAATAATTTTTTAAAGTGTTTTTTCTTATTAAACATGAGGACTTCCCAGTTATCCTTTATTTATTGATTTTTTTTTAATTTTACTATAGTGCCTTGTGCTGATACTTGTTTTATGTTCTGTGTGTGCCAAAAAAATAAAGCACATTCTCCAGTTGTTGCGTGTTATCCTTAGTATGTTTATAGGTTAAGCATTTAGTTGTTAGTGTTAAAATCTGCATCCTTACTGGATTTGTGTCTGCTTATTCTATTAATTACTAAAAACACTGTTAATATTTAATGGAATGTGAAATTGCTGTTTTCTTTTGAATTCTGTCAGTTTTACTTTCTTTTGTATCCATGTTATTGAACACCCACTAATTAGGATTGATTGGTCTTTATGATGAATTGAACCTTTTATCATTGTGAAATGACTTTCTTATCTCCAATTATTTTTGTGCCTGAAAAGTATCTTTTGTCTGTTGTATATATAGTTTGGGGTTGGGATTATTGATTGAATATTTTTTTCTAGTCTTTTACTTTCAACTTTTCTGTATTACTATGTTTTAGATATGTCTCTTGTAAATAATACATATAGTTGAGTTTAATTTTACTCATTTTTACCTAGACAAATCTTTTAATCAGTCTAAAGTCTTTGTCTTTTACCTAGATCATTTGGTCCATTATATTTAAATAATTACTGATCTATTTGGGTTTATATTTTGTGCTTTCAGTGTTTCTTCTTTCTTGCCATTTTTATAGTATTTTGAAACATGAGTCAATTATTTTGGAAATTCTAGTTAATTTAGACAGTACAAAATGCATTCTTATCAGAGACTGTAGTGTTAATCACTGTTCTTTCCCATCTCCATACAATTCAAAGGCCTTAGAATGTCTACTTTTTTATTCTAGCCTCTTGAAACCTTTACATGACTTTATTATTGATTGATACATAGTGGTCATTTAAGGTTTCTCGCAGTAAACCATTTTCTGTGCTCTTCATTCCTTATTTTTCTTTTGATATACCTATTTCTAATCACTTTTAGAGTTTTCTTTTTAAGAGTTTATAGTTGTGACATTCTTTCCATCTTGGTAGTCTTTAATTTTTTCTTTATTCTTGAAAGGTATTTTCACTGAGTTTGCAATATAAGCTTGATAATTGTATCTTGTAAGGAAACTGTCATTCTGTCTTCTTCTAGCTTTCATTACTATTTTTGAAAAGTCTGTTGTTAATCTACAGTATCTCCTTAAAAGTACCCTTTCCTTGGCTGCTCTTAAGATTTTCTCTTTGTCTTTGATTTTTTGAAGTTTTACCATGATGTGTCCATGTGTACTCTTTTCCTCTGTATATTTCTGTCTGAAGTTGATTGAATAGCTTGAATTTATGCATTGATATTTTTATAAGTTCTGAAAAATTTGTCATTATCTGTTCACATAATGTCTTTGAATCATTTTTCTTTTTTGCTCCTGAAACACAGATTTAGATTTTTTTTTGCTCTCTGTGTCTTTTAATCTTTCATTTTGTATTCCCCCCACCTCATTTTTAAACTTCCTTATTTTTCATGAGTAATCTGCTATTTTTCTATATCTAATTTGGTGTTAAACTCATCCATTAAAATAGCTAAGTATAAGTCCCAGCACTGAAGATGCTTGTAGTCTCAGAGGGAAAACAGACATGAAAATAGATTATTGTAACACTATATTATATAT